ATAACACTAAACTGATGAGCGGTAACAGCTTTTAAAGTGTCGCCTACAGCCAATTTTGGGTATTATCGTTTGAGGTTTCGCGCGCAATTTTAAGGCTTGACATGTTTGGTGTCTTTTTACCCGACGTGACCCCGTCTTTTATATTTTACCAAAAAATTGGGTAATAATAAATGTTTTATCATTTAATATAGGGGGAAACTGTCTTTTTTTTTTTAAAAAATTCGGTAATTTTTCCTTAATATAGTAAAAAATAAAACCCCCAGTGGTGAATAAATACCACCAAAAGAAAGCTCTATCTGTCCCCAAAAAAGGGTATAAAATTCATTTCAGTACAGCGCTGCAATGACGGAATAAATGTCAGTCAAAGTACCGCAGCGCTGAATACTGAAAAATGGAGTGAAATTTGAGAAAACCCCTCTATATTCGTTATGTGTATCTATTGATCCTGCCTACCTAAAAATATATATTTTACATTTACCTTTTAGATGTTTTGTTGCAGCAGGCAAGATGGCCGTTTCCAGGTTTTTCTGAAAACATTCACAGTGATATGTCCTAATGGAAGGCTCGGGACTGAAATTTGAGGATTGTGTTTCTCTCATTAACTCCTACATAGTATACAACATACAAAAAAAAAAGCCCCCAACTCCCGACAGCCCCTCCTAACATTACAAAAGGTGAAGCAAAAATACATTTTAACCATTAAGAAGACAAGAAACTAACGCAAGTAAAAGCAATTTAAACTGCAAGAAGCGTTTTTTTTTGCTTATGCTAGGTTAATGGAAACTTATAACGAATATAAAATAGGTGTCATCTCAATGTGGCTGCAAAAGTGGAGATACACTTTAATCCTTCCTCCCTTCCTCAGGACAAACACTGTTCGGATCTATTTTACAAGTGAACGAGATGTGCGAGAACAGTACAGACATCTTTAATAAAAAGGCAAACATTATATCCCCATCTTCTTGTATAGCTGAGGTAAATTCAGTGTTGGGAGTTGATACAAAAGAACAAGTAAAACGTAGGCGGCAATATCTAAGTTCTGCTATGTGAATGGAAACTTTTAAGAAATGTAACCCTTTCGCTGCCAATGCTTTTTGGTTTGCTTTTTGCACACGATATAATGCACATTTTAGGCCTGAAAATTACTTAAAAACCCCCAAAATATTATATATTTTATGGAAGCCAAGAAAAAAAAAAAAAAATGGTGGCAGCTGCAAATTTTTATGTTGTGCAATATTGGCGCAAATTTATCAAACCTAAAAATTTTGTAGTTAATTTTAGTGCCCCAAAACACAAATACCCTTTTTTTTGTGGAAAATATAAAAGATGAGAATATATACCCAACATGCCCAGGTTAAAAATTGTGTGCTTCCGTGAAATGGCGACAAAATTCAATACCATTGATGACGCTTTAGAAGCCCCTACAAGTCATCAGTTTAGAGATGCGCATAAATATTGGCCTTAGAATTATTGCTCTCACTTTGGTGTGTGGCAATACCAAACATGTGTAGCGCGATCAGCATTTCCGTAGGTAGGTGCACCTAATTATTTTTTACTTTTTTTTTTACTTTAATTGCCATCACATGGGGGGGCATACAAGCCCTCCTATGTGATAGCATGTTAGTGGCGACAGGTCGTCTTTAAAAGGTGATACTAGGGGTCCAGAGACCTTCTAAATAAGCGATTGAAGTGCAGATTGCACTTCAGTAGCTTATTGCTCGGCTTCAGGAGCCCAGCAATATCAGCTCATGGGCAGGAAGTGATGCAATACGCGTCACTCCCAGTCCCATAGAACGGGGAGGAAAAGGGCAATCGTCGGTGGTCGCAAAAGGGTTTAAGTAGGCGTTATCCCCTATTCGGCTGAAAAAGTGGAAATACACTTTTAACACAGTTACAAGCTATTTCACCATCTCAAGTTTCTCAAGCTAGCAGAGAGCGAATTCCTAAAAAACAACCATATTTGTGTGTACACCCCTCACTTTTAATATAATTGGTAGTATGTGAAAGTGCGTTAGCAACTTCCCACAGTAATAGGAGTGCATTCTGTGTTCGTGTAATCTGCATTAGAGCTGGAGCCTGCAACATTCCTCGAGTGAGGAGCTGATGCCAATGATTCTGAAAGGGAGGGGGGGTACACTTCAGAAGCCAAGAATGTTATGACTTTGTACTATAATTGCCATGTATTCTAAGAAAACTAGCCCGTGTTCTGAACATATAAACACAGCTCTCACAAGCCCACTTCCTTGTGTTTTTCTATGCAGCAAGACAAGCAATGGTTGTTTATTAAAGAACGCCTGCAGTCATGCCACCTCCCATCACCTCCCTCCCCATTGTGCAAGAGTCATGAGGTTGTCCTGGCTTCCCTAACCTTGTTTACAGTTTCAAGCTTTCCTGGAGGCATGGCTAAAAAAAGTCTGATAACAGGCCACGCTTTTGCACATATGGAGCAATGTCGGTTTGATTCTGAGGGAAAATAACTGTCTAGGAGCAATGTGACAAGTCAGGAAAGAAAGACAAATGGCTGCACATTGAAAGCCAGAACTCTATGAATATGAAATGCATTTCTGTGCACACGGACATGTTTATAGTTAGAAAGCTTCTTTAAAAATAATTGTGTCCTGGTGAATGTATGTGGTGAATACCCATATTGGCAGCATTTCACATTTCCATGCAGACCAAGCTAGAAGTGTCCGTTATAGGGGTTGGGACAAACCACTGCCTACAATGCTCACAACAGACCTTTTATTCACATGATTTAGGGTACATTCACACCAGCGGCCGCACTCATCCGCTAGGCTGCTGGTGTGCGTATCCTGAATTGAGCCGCATGGCACTGTTTTGTTTTTTTTGCAGAACTTTATTGAAATGCCATATTTCATTAAGTTCTATGGGTTTACACAGTGTGATGCAGTTGTACTGCGTCTCACTGCGGTGCGCTTAAAAAAAAGTTTAGAATTTGGTAGTGACTGTTAATGAGACTGCAGCATGTAATTCCCCTCCCCCAATACTGCCACTTTAAAACTGACCTCTAGGGAAAACTACAATACTCCCTTAAAGTGGAGCTCCCCCTCCACTGCAAGGGTTAAATGCTTGTTTATGCCTAGGGTACCAGGGACATGACTTGCCATTGTTAACCTCGATGCCTTGGGTTGTTGCAGAGGTCTCTGCATCCTAACATACAATGCAAGGCTCTTGGCCCTTCATTGTACTTGTGAGCCTGCCAGTGATCCCCAGAGTGCCTTAGGGCCAATTCACACCAACCAATGCACAACGCACAGCAGCGTGAAGGGACATTTCACTAAGTTCCACGGGCACAGCAGGGTGTGAGGCAGTTGCACTGCGTCACATCTTGCTGAAATGAGTAAAAGTACTGCATGCCATACTTTTCTTTTTCAGCACACACGCGTTGTGAACCAAGCCCATCTATGACAAGGCAAATTACATTGTCTTGCGTTGGGGCTGCAGTGGTAAACATGGCCAGTGCTGCCCCAGTGCATATGGTGAATGGGCCCTTAGAGAAGAGGCTGCGGGACCTAGCCTGGAGGGTGCCTGCAGAGCGAGGGATAGGGCAAAGAAAGGTCTTTTTTCCTTGCAACCTAGACAAACAGGAAGAGCCCCACTGCAAGGAAGGAGGTTTTCTTTTCCTGGAGTTCAGCTTTATTAGAATTATATTCAAAATTTCATGTATTCTGCAGCCTCCCCTACTTAGGGGGTCCCATGCCTGCAGGCCTCCGCTATTTAGCACAGGAGTCACTGATCTTGGTATTAACAAAACATATGTTCCATGGCCATTTCTCCACATCTAGATGTACTTACAAAAAAACAGGCTGAACAGTCCCTGGATGCACAATGTCTTGTTTACACACTGAACATACCTGGATGCGGCATTAGATAACATGCTTCCAGATGTGTTTAGAAATCAGCATCAGTATTTTGATAGCCGTGTGCATGAGGCCTGTGTATGGCGGCCGCCCGCCCCATGACGAAGGTACACGTGCAGTTTGTTTTGCATTCCCAGCCGTGTCTCTGATCACCTCCACTAAAAGCATGTCCCCAAACTCCCAGCCGTGACCCCGACCGAAAGCATTTCCCCTAATTCCCAGCCATGTCCCCGATCACCCCCACCGAAAGCATGTCCCCAAATTCCAAGCCGTGCCCCCGATCACCCCCACCGAAAGCATGTCCCCAAATTCCAGGCCGTGTCCGATAACCCCCACCGAAAGCATGTCCCCAAATTCCCAGCCATGTCCCCGATCACCCCCACCGAAAGCATGTCCCCAAATTCCAAGCCGTGTCCCCGATCACCCCCACCGAAAGCATGTCCCCAAATTCCAAGCCGTGTCCCCGATCACCCCCACCGAAAGCATGTCCCCAAATTCCAAGCCGTGTCCCCGATCACCCACATTGAAAGCGTATCCCCAATCACCCACACCAAAAGTCTGTCCCCAAATTCCCAGCCGTGTCCTGATCACCCCCACCAAAAGCATGTCCCCAAATACCCCCACTGAAAGCATGTCCCCAATCCCTCCCCACCCTGAATAGTGAGGGAGGATCAATGACAGCTCGGCGAGGCCCCGCACCCCCCTGCTGGATTATGCAATCAGTGTTCATGTAGAAGAGGCCATGCAGGCTGTGTACGGACATGACTGGCATGTGATCGGTGAGCTGCATTCACCACCACGAGCCATGGGTGGGACAGCCGCCCCGGGCCTCCTTATGCGATCCAGAGCATGCTCCTCTTCCTGCACCAGGCCTTATGATCGGCCTGCGCTCCCCTCCATCAACACGTCTCCAGCCCGTGCTCCTCTCCGTGCACACAGCCCCGGCCTGCACCCCGCGTCCACGCACACATAACCGTCCTCCTCCATGCACGTTGCATCCCCTCAACCACCAGGCCTGGCACCGCATGGAGCACGCTTATACATTGCAATCCCCCAATGTACGCCGAGCCCACCTCCCCGGACGTGCAGCCCCTCCCGTAGGCCGCAGAAGCCACTTACCTCCAGGGGTGGTGGAGAAGAGGGTCCCCCCGGGGGTGGTGCAATAGTCATGAGGTAGCTGAGATGAGTCGCTGATGTGGATGGTCCTGGTGGGGATGGCCCGACTCTGGCTGTGCTGGTGTCCGGTTGACATGTTCCTGGCCTGGAGGATGTGTGTGTGTGGTGGGGAGAGAGAAAGAAAGCAAGACGGGGCCGGAGAGCGGGGCTGGGAGGAGCCGGCTGAGGTAGACGGAGCACGTTAGGGGAGGATTGGCTGAGCCTCCTTTATGATTTCCCTTCCTTCTCTCTCCCTTCCCCTCCGCCCTTCTAGCTCTCGCCTGAGCCAGGAAACACGAAGAGGGAGTGGGGCCAGGAAATGAGCTCAGGAGCCACATGCTCTTAACCATTCACAGGCCGGGACCTAACGGGATGATGCAACAGGCCCGATAAGGGGGGCCACTCTGTCAGCAGGGGCCACGGAGGGAGAGGCACAGTGAACTGAGAACAACAGGCCGAACAGAGCAATCCTAACCCTCCAAACGTCATTGTCACTAGAGAGTACATAGGTTACTGTAATGGTGGTCTCTGAGACTCCACCAGAGAAACCTATGATGTCAAATATTGGGATAAAACAGTCCTCATTCACAACTACCGTAGCTGTTTGGTGAACGTGCGGCAAAAATGCAGAACATGTCAACAATGTGCAACGCGCTTGTGGTGACATTACTTCTTAATGGCGCCCCAAACGCAGCCAGGAGAATGCATTTTACCCTGCGCGCTGGCGCGTGTTAAACCATGCGCAGAAATGATGAAGACGTTACCTGCACTACAAGGTCATGCACGCAGGACGCCTTTTATTAACACGCTAAGCAATCATGGTCACACAGTGCAGAAAGAAACATTTCGGAACCACAAGTTGTCCCCTCATCAGGCAAACACAGTGACTGGATGGACGACTTTCTGTCACCATGCTAGCTTAGCGTCTTAATAAAAGGCAATCCGCATGTTTGACCTTAAAGTGCAAGGTCATTTCTGTGATTTGTGCGGTGCCATCCGCAGATCATACCAGCAGCCACCTTTACATTGGGATTCTGGTCTGGAGTGTGGTGGATCAAAGAGTACTGTTAAATGTGCATGAGTGAAAAAAGTCAGAACGCATTTCGTAGATTTGGCTACATGAGCTTTTCCTGCATGTGGCACCCATTGAAATCAATGAAGAGGCGCGTCAGTCGCAGGAAAAAACAAAATGCATGTTTCAGGTACGCCTAAGCGTGAATGGGGTCGCCGGCATATTCAGACTAATGATTTCTTTCCCCAACATGCTTTCCTTTAATATTAATGTAAACACATCAACACACATTGTCACGAGTTCATAACATGCGTTGTAATGTGCTTTGTAATGCCAAAGTGCATTATAACGCACATCAGCGTACGCCGTGGCTGTTGATGTGCATCTTAATACATCCATTGACATGCATTTTGGTGCATTTCATTAGACACGGAAAGCAGAAAAACACAATCGTGTGTTTTTAGAATAAATTGGTGTTAAGCCCGTGACACACTGCACGCAAAGCTGTCCGGCACGGAGCTTTGCGTGCAGTGTGTGAGCTGAGTGCAGGCAGATGATTGACTGCACCTTCAGCCAATCGGAACTGGCCAGACGTCGCATCAGGTTTATACGTGCGAGCCGATTGGCTGAAGTTGAGATTTTTCATCTCGGCACGCTCAGCTATGCGTGGGGAGGGAATTACATGACACACTGCTCGCAAAGGCACCGCTTCGCGTGCAGTGTGTCACAGCTTTTAAAGTGTTGGTTGGTCGTAGGTATAACATGCAATATGGAGTTGAGGGGGCCCTTGGATCTGGGACGCCCTATACATTGAGTGCACCCCCAACATCACTGGAATGAGCGTTCCTCGTTTCATGGCCTGCACATGCACAGGGCAATCTCCCTACCCTGTCACAGCAGCGCTCAGCTCAGGCACTGTGGCAGTAACAGAGGCAGCACTGTGCATGTGCGGGTCATAAAAGAGGGGGGGCGCTTGCTCCAGAGATGCTGGGGGTGTACCTAATGTACGGAGCATCCCAGATCATGAGATGATGCCTAAAAGTACAGGGCCCCCCTGACTTCATAGTGCATTTTACTGCAGAAGTGAACAACATAGACACCACATGCGTTCTAGTCCATCAAGGACTGAAGTAAGATTCACATTTTGGGTGCGGTGGGAGACATTCTAATAATGAGGCCCCCAATCACGCCATATGCATTGAGCAGCCTTGCCCAACGCAGAGTCAGCACATAGACAAGGCAATATGCCTTATATCCTTTCATTTTAGTTCACACCACCGTGCGGGCTGAAAAAAGTGCGACATGAAACATTCTTATGCAGCATGCTGCAACGCATTAGACAGCATTGCCACAGGCTGCAGTGCATAGAATTGAATGAAATGTCATTTTGTTTCATTTCAATAAAAGTAAGCTATGTTGCGTTGTAACAATGCATCTCACCACACCTTCACAGCACACCAGCTGTTGTGCGTTATACAGAGTATAATGCATGCTGCTGTGGTGAATGGGCCCTGAGTGTAATAGTTGCAGTTCCCCTTTAAAGCTTCCCCACGCTAGTCATATGTAGCAGCTGCTAATCTCTCTGCGTATTTTCTCTCTAGATACGTGTTGCTGCTGAAGCTGGCTGCGACTACCATGGATTATCAAGCTGCAGTGTGTATAACGCACACATGTTAAAGTGCATTGCATCACATGTTCATTTGCACTGCGTTAAAGCAGAACTTGGGGGGAAAACTAATATAAACCCTTGCAGCAGGGCCATCCCTACAGCGCAAAGGTTAGGTTCTCGTTTTGTCTTGGTAGCTAAAATAACAAAGGTATACTTACCCGAACCACGATCCAGCTTGCTCTTAGACTGGTCCCTTCAGCCTCACTCCCCCTCCAGCGTAGCCCCACTGCAAGGGTTAAGATTTGATCTGCTCGGGGTTTTCCCCATAGTTCTCTTAAGGGTCACGGGAGGACACAAACTAGCGTTCTCCCGTCACCCAAAGCTCGGTATACCGCGAGCTACAGCTTGCTGTATACTGAGATTGCCGCAGCCGGGACGGATCCCGACATTACTGTCGAGATCCGCCCAGCTGCGTGATTGACAGCTGGCTCTGCCTATCTAGAGGCAGAGCCAGCTGTACCCTCCCCCGTCCGTTCCGCCAGTCAGCGCTGGAGGAGGGGGGAATCCAGCCCCTTCCCTGTCACAGTAGAGAGCCGTGACAGGATCGAGAAGTGAGCGAACACCGGTATGCGTTCGCTCACTTCCCGATCTACTGAGCCGACCTGTGACAGTCTCATTGTCACAGGTCGGCTAGAACTATGAGGTGAGTGAAAAGCACTCACCTCATAGTTCTCCTTTAACGTGCCCTGTGTTAATGCAGATCCCCTTTCAAATCCATTTTTAACACACCACAACACATGGCATGTGCTTTGTCATTTTCTACAGTGTCAGTGTGTTGCTTGTTACTGTAACAGTGTGTTTGGGTGCTACTGAAAATGACTAGCACCGTGGTGCACATGTTACTATGGGGTTAATTTATAAAAGCTATACGTTGGGCGGATTCCATTCGCACAGCACTAGCACCCCTAGATGGTACTGAAATTCCTATACTTGTCAGCGTTAACACATAAAACCTGCTGCATGAGCTTCTTTTCCATGTTTGTCGCACATAGGGCAACTTATTGAAATGAATGGACTTCTCTATGCTGATGCACAACAAACGCAATAAACACATGAAAGGGCTTGTAACATGTGTCATGTAAGTGCAGTCAGTCTTACATTATTGCACAATGCTCCATTCATGGCCATTGATTGCTACAAGATGTTTTTACATGCCATGCATTGTAGGTTCCTCTATAAAGAGCCATTTGTTCCATCTGTTTAGTGATCATTTGCTACACCTTGCCATTAATTGCAGGACTCAGCTATTCAAAATCTCCTGTATAACCTTTGTCTATTAAGGTGACTGCCAGCCAGAGGTTACATATGTTACTAAGAAGAGATTAAGGGCCTTTCACACAGGCGCCTTCAGTTCTGATCAGCCAGGCACGACTCCCCCACTAATCGGAACAGATGTCACCGTTGTGACATGCATGTCCATCCAGTTTTTGTCTCCATCTTGCAATGAAATTACCAGACCCATGTTGGTCTATGGGGAATCCGATGTAAATGGACATGTGTCCAATACCCCACAATCAAGTCCAGGGAAACAGAACTCCGATTCATTTGTTTTTCCAGACCTGGCCGGAGTCAAAAGTAATCAGATTTAAACGGATGCACATTCGTTTCGATCTGGCTGCCCATAAACTGGCGTGGGCAACTTCAGCTGTGGTGAAACTACAAATCCCATAATGCAACTGCCTTTGTGAGTCATGGCTGTGGCTGTCAGAGTTTTGCAATGCCTCATGGGATTTGTAGTTCCACAATAACTAGAGGGCTAGAGTTACCCACCCCTGTCATAGACTATGATTCCAATCAGATCTGTCTGAAAAACTGATCGGAATGCCTTTGTTAAGGCACCCTAAATCATCTGTGTCATTGGTTCTGATGAAGGGGGCGTGCCCCAGAAACGCGTAAGCCATTTATCAATACAGGGATCGAGGTTACTGGTGTTTGTAGTTCGCTCCAGATTATCCCTGCCAGGGGTTTCGTCCTCTCACCTTATTCTACTGGTTTTTATTCTACCGAACTGTTGTAAGTACAGCCTTAGAGCTGCGTGTTTTTACTATTAAATAACATTTTTTACACTATGGAGGCGCTCTCTTTTGTTCCTTTTCTCATAGACTGTAGTCCAGGGTAGTGATCCTGTAGTTGTTAGAAAGTGCTGCTACAAAATTGTAAATGGCTCTATTTGCAGTTGACTCAGGGGCGTCTGGAGGCCGGGTGTTACCCGGT